AGCGTGGCAGGCTGACCGGAGTGTTGGAGAGTAAACCCACAGCATTTAGAAGGGTACGCCGTATTAGTCACCAATTGGCACGTTTTGTTTACGTGACAGCCTTCCTAATTAGCTGTGTCGGGTGGTGGCGGATTTAATGACACATTTATATTTACGCGATCTATCCCCCCCCCCCCCAAAAAAACTCTATTATTAATGTAATTATTTATTTTAGCAATGCAACGCAAATTATATGTTTTCTGCGCACAAGAGTTTTGATGATTTATCCCAACGACACTATCGATGTTTTTTTATGTATTCTCTCCCCCCCCCCCCCCCCACCGTGCATCCCAGCGCTCTGTGTGAAAGCCAGGTGGTGAAGCAAGCGTTCGCTAAATAAAAAAATAAATACAAAATACGGAGTCTCGTGACCGACGTTCAGGAGGGCTCTGCCAATACCACGCAGTCGGGAGGAACGATGACCACCACTGCTGCTGCTGCTGCCGTGTAGTAACCCCAAATGTAATACTTGCGCGGTGTAATTGTACAATTGAAAGATGAAATCCAACGCGCACCTTGACGCCGGCTGCTCCACAATGGCCCACAGTTGCCCCCCAATTGCCCACAATAATGACCCAAAATGATGGCCCCAAGTGATGGCCCACAATGATGGCTCACTATGGCCCACGGTGGCCCACTTTGGCCCACAATGGTGGCCCACAATGGTGGATCAAAATTGCCCACAATGGCCCACATTGGCCCTCAATTGCCCACAATAATGACCCAAAATGATGGCCCCAAGTGATGGCCCACAATGATGGCTCACTATGGCCCACGGTGGCCCACTTTGGCCCACAATGGTGGCCCACAATGGTGGATCAAAATTGCCCACAATGGCCCACATTGGCCCTCAATTGCCCACAATAATGACCCAAAATGATGGCCCCAAGTGATGGCCCACAATGATGGCTCACGATGGCCCACGGTGGCCCACTTTGGCCCACAATGGTGGCCCACAATGGTGGATCAAAATTGCCCACAATGTCCCACATTGGCCCTCAATTGCCCACAATGATGGCCCATACTGATGGCCCACAGTGGCCAATAATGGCCCACGACGTCGCGGAACCTTTAACGTTCGCCTCGGGTGAAGCAGACGGTGCACGTAGTATAATCATTATTGTTGTACTACGATAAAAACAATAAACGCGGCAGTATTTTAAAGTGAACAGTGTTTTTTGTTTTATTTTACCAGGTGAGGCCTCCCAATGAGCTGCTGTGTAGCTCATTTTCAGAAGCGACCTCGCCATCACAAACGATAGCTCCACGAAGTGGGCTTATCGTCATCATCACGTGGAAATGAATAGCAGTCAGATATTCTCTAGACGCGTGATATTAGTTCTAAATGCGGAGGGGAAAAAGCCGGATGACCCGGATAAAAAAATCCTCGCGACCACGGGGAGAGAGAGAGAGAGACGCAACCTCCAAATATACAGCAGGTCGTTAGGGTCAGGATGGAACCCACCGCGACCTCCTGCATACCGGGCGAGGGAGTTAACATCTCCAAGCCACCGCGGCGCGTATTGATAGGGGGCGGCCGCTGGAGGTTCGAACCACGAGGCTCCGCACTCAGCGGCTACAGGTGGGACCCGCGTCGTCACCCCCCAATAGCACCGATGTCCCCGTGTGTTGCATATGCGCATCGATCGATATCTGAATGACATCCACACCATTATCCACCTCCTCCTCCTCCGCCACTCTCTACAAAGAGAGAATCCCCCTGTTTGCGCCATCCGCGTCCGCGAGGCGAGGAGACCCCTTAGGAAATCTCGCGGCGGCAGAGCGACTTTGGACTCTCCCCTCTCTCGACTCTCTCTCTCGTGTGAGTTGACGGGCCCGCGGAAGCAGAAACGACAGAACTACGACCGCAGGTTCCTTCGCCCCCCCCCCCCCCTTTCCGACGCGCCCTGCCACACGAGAGTAATGTTTCGTCACATAACGAGTCAAAGCGATATCTTTATTTTTTGGAATTCTCAAAAGCCGGACCAATTATTGGCCAACATAAGTGCGGAACTTAACGTGTGATGTGATCCATGGGGGGAGGGGGGAAGGGAGATTTCTTTGTGTCGTCATCGGTGGCCAGGCTGAGGTCATCATCAACTCACAAACTTCCGCTTGTCCGTCTGTCTGCCTGCCCGTCTGTTCGCTCGTTTGTACGTCCGCCTGTGTGTCTGTAGGCTCCGTCCGTCTGTCTGCCTGTCCGTCTATCCGGTCCGTCTGTCCGTCTGTGTATCCATCCGTCCGTCTGTCTGCCTGTCCGTCTATCCGGTCCGTCTGTCTATCCGTCTGTCCGTCTGTCTATCCGTCTGTCTGTCTGTCTGCCTGTCCGTCTGTGTGTCCATCCGTCTGTCTGCCTGTCTGGTTCCCCGATCCCCCCGCCCCCCGCACGTCGCTCCGTCTGTACCGGGCAGCCAGGGGCAGACCGCCGGCGCCGGTCGACGCCGCTCCCACGCGGCGTGAAGAAGGCCCCCCACGCGGCGTGAAGAAGGCCCCCCACGCGGCGTGAAGAAGGCCCCCCACGCGGCGTGAAGAAGGCCCCCCACGCGGCGTGAAGAAGGCCCCCCACGCGGCGTGAAGAAGGGTCCCCACGCGGCGTGAAGAAGGCCCCCCACGCGGCGTGAAGAAGGCTCCCCACGCGGCGTGAAGAAGGCCCCCACGCGGCGTGAAGAAGGCCCCCCACGCGGCGAGTCGCCTCGTGGACCCCCCCCCCCCCACCCCTCGTGTTAAGTGACCGATCGTCCGATGGTTACAGCCCTCGCTCTGGCCGGCAGAGCCACCACAGCGATCCGAGCTCACACCACCACCCACTACCACCCACCACCACCACCCACCCACCACCACCACCCCACCCACCCCAGCCGCACCATCACGGCCTGGGGCGGCACTGTGGCACACGCGCGGGGGTGGGTGGCCAGCACCACGCCCGGCCGCCTTTGTCTCCCCCAGTGACGATGTTTACTACCCACCGCAGCCGGGCACTCGTTTGAGGCTTAGTCGACCTAGGGGAGGCCCCAGGACCGGTTCAGATAATCGTCACTGGTGGCGTTGACGGTCGTGAGCCGGAATCGAACTCGGGTCGCCGGGTTCGTCGCGCAGCGTAGCGCTAACCGCTCCCCCACCGCTCCCTACTATACACACCGTTCAAAAACAAAGATCCCCCGTGTAGCCTTAACAGACTGTTGGGGCACGTGTTGTTAGCGAGCAGCACCTATGAACGCCGGCACGGCACACGAGGGGTCGGTGGCCAGCACCACGCCCGGCCGCCTTTGTCTCCCCAGTGGCGATGTTTACACACCGCACCGGGTACTCATTTGAGGCTGAGTCGACCTAGGGGGGTCCATGACCGGTTCAAGTAATCGTCACCGGTGTTGGTCGTGAGCCGGAATCGAACTCAGGTAGCCGGGTTCGTCACGCAGCGTAGCGCTACCCGTGACGTTACCGCTCCCCGCTGTACACACACCACACACACAGCCGGATACACACCACTCACACACACAGTCAGACACACACCACACACACACACACAGTCAGACACACACCACTCACACACACACAGTGGGACACACACCACTCACACACACACAGTGGGACACACACCACTCACACACACAGTCAGACACACACCACTCACACACACACAGTGGGACACACACCACTCACACACACACAGTCGGATACACACCACTCACACACACAGTCAGACACACACCACACACACACACACAGTCAGACACACACCACTCACACACACACAGCCGGATACACACCACTCACACACACACAGTCGGATACACACACCACACACACACAGTGGGACACACACCACACACACACACACAGCCGGATACACACCACTCACACACACACAGTCGGATACACACCACTCACACACACACAGCCGGATACACACCACACACTCACACACAGTCAGACACAAACCACTCACACACACAGTGGGACACACACCACTCACACACACACAGCCGGATACACACCACTCACACACACACAGTCGGATACACACACCACACACACACAGTGGGACACACACCACTCACACACACACAGCCGGATACACACCACTCACACACACACAGTGGGACACACACCACACACACACACACCACTCACACACAGTGGGACACACACCACTCACACACAGTCAGACACACACCACTCACACACAGTGGGACACACACCACACACACAAACACACACCACACACACACAGTGGGACACACACCACTCACACACACACCACACACACAGTGGGACACACACCACACACACACACAGTGGGACACACACACCACACACACACCACTCACACACACACCACACACACACAGTGGGACACACACCACTCACACACACACCACACACACCACTCACACACAGTGGGACACACACCACTCACACACACACCACACACACCACTCACACACAGTGGGACACACACCACTCACACACACACCACACACACCACTCACACACAGTGGGACACACACCACTCACACACACACACCACACACACACACAGTGGGACACACACCACACACACACACCACACACACACCACACACACACACACCACTCACACACAGTGGGACACACACCACTCACACACACACACACCACACACACACCACAGACACACACACCACTCACACACAGTGGGACACACACCACACACACACACCACACACACCACACACACACAGTGGGACACACACCACACACACACCACACACACACCACACACACACACCACACACACACCACTCACACAGTGGGACACACACCACTCACACACACACCACACACACACCACACACACACCACACACACACAGTGGGACACACACCACACACACACCACACACACACACCACACACACACCACACACACACCACTCACACAGTGGGACACACACCACTCACACACACACCACACACACACCACACACACACCACACACACACAGTGGGACACACACCACTCACACACCACTCACACACAGTGGGACACACACCACTCAAGCTGTATAATAAATAAAAGCGCGTCGACCGGGGTGCAGCGTGGCACAAGAGCAGCGTTGTCTCTATGTGGTCGTCAAACTCAGCAGCGTGGCACAAGAGCAGCGTTGTCTCTATGTGGTCGTCAAACTCAGCAGCGTGGCCACGAGCAGCGTTGTCTCTATGTGGTCGTCAAACTCAGCAGCGTGACACAAGAGCAGCGTTGTCTCTATGTGGTCGTCAAACTCAGCAGCGTGGCCACGAGCAGCGTTGTCTCTATGTGGTCGTCAAACTCAGCAGCGTGACACAAGAGCAGCGTTGTCTCTATGTGGTCGTCAAACTCAGCAGCGTGGCCACGAGCAGCGTTGTCTCTATGTGGTCGTCAAACTCAGCAGCGTGGCCACGAGCAGCGTTGTCTCTATGTGGTCGTCAAACTCAGCAGCGTGGCCACGAGCAGCGTTGTCTCTATGTGGTCGTCAAACTCAGCAGCGTGGCACAAGAGCAGCGTTGTCTCTATGTGGTCGTCAAACTCAGCAGCGTGGCACAAGAGCAGCGTTGTCTCTATGTGGTCGTCAAACTCAGCAGCGTGACACAAGAGCAGCGTTGTCTCTATGTGGTCGTCAAACTCAGCAGCGTGGCCACGAGCAGCGTTGTCTCTATGTGGTCGTCAAACTCAGCAGCGTGGCACAAGAGCAGCGTTGTCTCTATGTGGTCGTCAAACTCAGCAGCGTGGCCACGAGCAGCGTTGTCTCTATGTGGTCGTCAAACTCAGCAGCGTGGCCACGAGCAGCGTTGTCTCTATGTGGTCGTCAAACTCAGCAGCGTGGCCACGAGCAGCGGCATCACGGCAGCGAGCAGGGCCCCGTGCCGGGACGGGGCCACGGCACCACCCGGCGGACAGTCCACCTGGCGTGCTCCAACACCTCCTCCGTAGCCTCCACCGCCTCTACCACCATCGCCAGGATGACGATGATTAACACCACCACCAACACCACCACCACCACCGCCGCCGTCGTCATCATCGCCATCGTCATCATCATCACCACCACCACCACCGTAGGAGCCAAAGTCCCCGCTGCCGGCCAGGAAGTCCTCTCCGTCGAAGCACAGCTCGGCCATGTTGCGCTTCACCGCCTCGCAGAACGGCCTCTCGATGCCGTCGCAGACGCAGTCGCTGAGCTGGCGGGCGCCCTGCAGGCTCAGCATGCGCTCGATGACCGCGCGGCACTGCGGGGAGCACCGCGCCCCGTTGAAGAGCTGCCCGCAGCCCCGCAGGTACTCGTCCAGCGTCTCGCTGCAGCGCGGCTCCTCCAGGCACCGATGCCTCGCGTCGGTGCAGCCCACTCGACGGCGGCCGCCGCCGCCGTGGTCAGCGGCCGCCGTGAACGTGCGCGGCAGGCAGGGCTCCAGGGCGCTCTTCGTGCGCAGGCAGCGCGGCTCCCTGCCGCAGTCGCAGCTCTCGAGCGCGGGTCCCGAGCGGGTTTGGTTGAGTTGGACCAGCGCCGTGATGCACAGAGTCGGGCAGCGGGACCGCGCGGCCCCGCCGGACCGGTCCCCACCTCCTCCTCCCCCTCCTCCTCCTCTTCCACCGTGACCCACACCCATCGGGCCTCCGTCGTGCCAGCCGTCGTCCGAACCTCCTCCACCGCCGCGGTGTCCACCGCCGCCGTGTCCACCGCCGCCGTGTCCACCGCCGCCGTGTCTGCCAGCACCTTCCAGAGCTCCACCACCACCGCCGCCTCGCACCGACTCGCAGGCGGAGACGTAGCCGTCGTAGGCGCGCTTGCATTCAGCCTCCTGGCTGCATCGCACAATCGCCTCCCAGCATGGCCTCGCCTGCTGCTGCTGCTGGGAGGAGGACGAGGAGGCGGAGGAGAGGGCGAGTGGCGCCCAGCATAAGAGCAGCAGAGAGAGGAGGACGCGGCACGGGTGGAGAGGATCCATGGCGAGGCCGCGGGCCCGCGGCTGGCCGCCGTCGACGGGAGAGAGGGCGCAGAGAGACGCGGGGAGAGATTTGTTGTGGCTTTGAGTTTGTTGTCGTAGTTGTTGTTGTCGTTTTATCGTCTAGACCTGGGGTCGTTGTCTCCCGGTGTCGTCCTTGACTCGATCGTCGTCCGCGTCTCCGTATCTAGGGATGCGTCCCCGCGTCTTCCTCTGAGCGTGTCTCTGCGTCTTCGTCTTCTTCTTCGTGTCTCGGTGTCTCCACTGTCTGGTGACCTCGTGTCTCGGCTGTCTCCTTACAATCGCAGGCGTCTTTGATTTTCTCCGCGCGTCTCCTGATCTCCTTGGACGTCTCCCTGCGGCGTCTCCTCGCCTCCCTCGACGTCTCTCCCCGCGTCTCCCCCGCGTCTCTCCCTGTGTCTCCTCGCCTCCCTCGTGTCTCCCCGCGGCGTCTCTCCCCGTGTCTCTCCCTGTGTCTCCCCCGCGTCTCCCCGCGGCGTCTCTCCCCGTGCCCCGTGTCTCTCCCTGTGTCTCTCCCTGTGTCTCCCCCGCGTCTCCCCCGTGTCTCCCCGCGGCGTCTCTCCCCGTGTCTCTCCCTGTGTCTCCCCCGCGTCTCCCCGCGGCGTCTCTCCCCGTGTCTCTCCCTGTGTCTCTCCCTGTGTCTCTCCCTGTGTCTCCCCCGCGTCTCTCCCTGTGTCTCCCCCGCGGCGTCTCTCCCTCGCCTCCACGCGACTCTCGATCGATTCCGAGCTCCGTTCACGACCGCTCCATGTCCGCGCGCGCCGCCGTAGACGCGCAGGGATCGCAAAGGAGACGGAACTCACTGGCAGAGCGATGTCGCTTTCACGCTGACGTTCTGTCGTTGAGTAAAACAAACAAAGGCACGGCCGCAGACACTCCTTGGTCTTCAAACGGCGACCTCGATGTCCCCTCGGAGACAGACACCCCTACGAGACTCCTAGGACACCCCTACGAGACTCCCGAGATTGTATCCAGATACATGCCGTGTTGACGCTGCAGCCTGATCTTAAACAGCAGGACCGGGGTGAGGGCGAGCGAGTGGGGGTGAGCAAGAGAGCGAGCGAGTGGGGGTGAGCTGGTGTGCTAGCAGCGAGTGAGTGAGAGGGGGAGGGTGAGTGAGAGAGGGTGAGTCGGGGAGAGAGAGAGGGAGGGTGAGTGAGTGTGAGAGTCGCTGGGGAGAGAGTGAGTGGAAGAGAGAGAGAGAGAGGAGGGGTGGTGTTATGGGGGTGTGGCATTTGGAGAGAGTAAAATGTGCGAGCGTGAGAGAGAGGGAGAGGGGGTGGGGGTGTGGAGAGTTGCGGGGTCGTCGATGGGAGAGGGGGGAGGGAGGCACCAGCAATGGAGAGAGGGGTGGGGAGCGGTGGAGCAGCGGTTAGCGCGCTACGAAGCCGGCCATCCGAGTTCGATTCCCGCTCACGGCCATCACCAGTGACCTGGGCCTCCCCTAGGTCGACTCAGCCTCAAATGAGTTCCTGGTGCGGTGTGTAAACATCGTTACTTGGGAGACGAAGGCGGTCGGGCGTGGTGCTGGCCACCCACCCCCCTCGTGTGCCGTGCCGGCCTTCATAGGTGCTCGCTAACAGCACTTGGCCCAACAGTCTGTTAAGGCTATACGGGGGATCTTTGTCTTTTGAGTCAGAGAGGTGAGTGTAGGTTAGGGTGTGAGTCGAGGAGAGTGTGGCCGAGGGTACTTACGGGAGAGGTGTGGTCGGAACGTCGGACGCGGTAATGCAGGTATAGGCGCAGCCCCTGCAACGTCTCACACGGGACACTGCTGGCGGAAGGGGGCCTCCACTCCAGGGAGCTCCGAACGGTGCTCGCACCCATTAGGGCTGAACGATTAATCGATTTGAAATCGAAATCGGTATTTCAAACAATGCGACTAGCAAATCGCAGAGGCTGCGATTTGTTTGTCATTTGAAAAGTCTTCCTACGTTGTTATTGGAATTGTTTTATTTTTTATTATTGTAATTTATTTAACTTAACAATTGTTCTATGTTTGATTGTTCTATTTCAATTAAAACATTTTCATAAATGCATGTTGGAAGCAATTCATATATTTTAAGTCCCCATCCTTGCATTAGAATATATAGAGCAGTAAATATTTTGATGGTCTCACGTGGTAATGCTCCATCACGTGTTTTAAATCGATTACGCAGTGAACATTTAACTGAAGCTTGACTTGGCAAATCAAATCGCAAATCGCTGTCAGAAAACTCACAATAAGAGATTGTCCCCAGGTCGTTCAGGCCGAGTACCCACACTCTACCCCAAGCACACGCGATGCTTGACGAGATGGAATAACCACGCGCACTCAGTTGTCGGGGGTATTCATCAATCCACTGCTGGATGATAACGACTGCCCCCCCTGCCACCCCTCCTTGCACGCTGGCTGATTCTGTCCATACTTCACCTCGCTGGTTGATTCTGTCCATACTTCACCTCGCTGGCTGATACTGTCCATACTTCACCTCGCTGGTTGATACTGTCCATACTTCACCACGCTGGTTGATACTGTCCATACTTCACCTCGCTGGTTGATACTGTCCATACTTCACCTCGCTGGCTGATTCTGTCCATACTTCACCACGCTGGTTGATACTGTCCATACTTCACCTCGCTGGCTGATACTGTCCATACTTCACCTCGCTGGCTGATACTGTCCATACTTCACCTCGCTGGTTGATACTGTCCATACTTCACCTCGCTGGTTGATTCTGTCCATACTTCCACCTCGCTGGTTGATTCTGTCCATACTTCACCTCGCTGGCTGATACTGTCCATACTTCACCTCGCTGGTTGATACTGTCCATACTTCACCTCGCTGGTTGATACTGTCCATACTTCACCACATAGGCTGATACTGTCCATACTTCACCTCGCTGATTGATACTGTCCATACTTCACCACACTGGCTGATACTGTCCATACTTCACCTCGCTGGCTGATTCTGTCCATACTTCACCTCGCTGGTTGATACTGTCCGTACTTCACCTCGCTGATTGATACTGTCCATACTTCACCTCGCTAGGTGATACTGTCCATACTTCACCTCGCTGGCTGATTCTGTCCATACTTCACCACGCTGGTTGATACTGTCCATACTTCACCTCGCTAGGTGATACTGTCCATACTTCACCTCGCTGGTTGATACTGTCCATACTTCACCTCGCTAGGTGATACTGTCCATACTTCACCTCGCTAGGTGATACTGTCCATACTTCACCTCGCTGGTTGATACTGTCCATACTTCACCTCGCTGGTTGATTCTGTCCATACTTCACCTCGCTGGCTGATACTGTCCATACTTCACCTCGCTGGCTGATTCTGTCCATACTTCACCTCGCTGGCTGATACTGTCCATACTTCACCTCGCTGGTTGATTCTGTCCATACTTCACCTCGCTGGTTGATTCTGTCCATACTTCACCTCGCTGGTTGATTCTGTCCATACTTCACCTCGCTGGTTGATTCTGTCCATACTTCACCTCGCTGGCGCGTGCGTGGGAGATGTGCAGGACAAGAGTGGAGTCTGCAGCAGCAGCAGCAGCCTATAACACCTGTTGTGCACGGTGTTGCTGGCTGCTGGTGGGGGTGGTGGTCACCCATCGAATCGCTTGAGCCACGCTCTAAATCGCCGCTCAACTTCAGCCTCCTCCGAATGGAGGCGTCGCTGGCGATTTGTTGTGGACGATGCCGTTAGCGAGTCCTGGCGTGCCGCGGTGCCTAGGAGATGTTGACTACCTCGCCTGGTACACAGGAGGTCGTGATGGGTTCCATCCTGACCCTGACACCACGGTGGCTAGGAGATGTTGACTACCTCGCCTGGTACACAGGAGGTCGTGATGGGTTCGATCAAGACCCTGATGCCTGCTGTATATTTGGAGTTTGCGTCTCTCTCTCTCTCATCATCATCACGGTGGCTAGGAGATGTTGACTACCTCGCCTGGTATACAGGAGGTCGTGATGGGTTCGATCAAGACCCTGATGCCTGCTGTATATTTGGAGTTTGCGTCTCTCTCTCTCTCATCATCATCACGGTGGCTAGGAGATGTTGACTACCTCGCCTGGTATACAGGAGGTCGTGATGGGTTCGATCAAGACCCTGATGCCTGCTGCTGTATATTTGGAGTTTGCGTGTCTCTCCCTCTCATCATCATCATCATCACGGTGGCTAGGAGATGTTGACTACCTCGCCTGGTACACAAGAGGTCGTGGGTTCGATGCCGACCCTGACGCCTGCTGCTGTATATTTGGAGTTTGCGTGTCTCTCTCTCATCATCACGGTGGCTAGGAGATGTTGACTACCTCGCCTGGTATACAGGAGGTCGTGGGTTCCATCCTGACCCTGACATCACGGTGGCTAGGAGATGTTAACTACCTCGCCTGGTATACAGGAGGTCGTGATGGTTTCGATCCCGCCCCTGACGCCTGCTGCTGTATATTTGAAGTTTGCTTGTCTCTCTCCGTGGTCGCGAGGATTTTTCTCCGGGTCCTGCGGTTCCCCTCCCACCCCCACATTGAGAATCGACACCACCACGCGTCCGGAGTATTTGTCTACTCCTATGAACGACCACGTGATGATGACGATGATGACGATGAGCCCACGTCGTTGAGCTATCGTTTGTGATGGCCAGGTGGCTTCTGCAATGGAGCTACGTAGCCCAGTGGGGCCTTACCTGGTAAAGGAAAACAAACTTTGTATAGTTGAGTTCATTAAGAGATGCACTCCGCTGTCACGCTAACACAAAGCGGAGGAGGATCCCCCCGCGTGCTGCCTGAACAGAGTGTTCTGGGCCAGTGGTGTGAGCAGCGAGTAGCAGCAGCTTTGAAGGCCGTCAAGACACACGAGCGGAGTGGGTGGCCAGCACCACGCCCGGCCGCCTTTGTCTCCCTCGGACCGGTGCAGATATCGCAAAGCGATGTTGGCCGTGAGCGGGACTCGAACTCGGGTGGTTGTTGTTGTTGCTGGGTAGGTGTCCGGACACGGCGCGCTCCCAAAACCTCTCCTTCCACGACCACGGGTGGCCCATAGCGGCCTGTAGCGCACACTCTGTATAGCACGCCACGTTACTCCGCGGAGTGACGCGGAGTTACACGAGGTGACCGGAGGGTAAACATCAGTGGCAGTGATGAGTTACTTCCGCGTTAGTGAGAGAGTGTGAGTGAGAGTGTGATTCGGAGAGTGTGAGAGAGAGAGTCAGAGAGTGTGAGTGTGAGAGTGTGAGTGAGAGTGTAAGTGAGTGTGAGTCAGAGAGCGTGAGAGTGTGAGTGAGAGTGTGAGGCAGAGAGAGAGTGTGAGTGAGAGTGTGAGTGAGAGTGTGAGTCGGAGAGTGAGAGAGAGAGTGAGAGAGATGAGAGTGTGAGTGAGAGTGTGAGACAGAGAGAGTGTGAGTGAGAGTGTGAGTGAGAGTGTGAGTCGGAGAGAGTGAGAGTGTGAGTGTGAGACAGAG